TTCAATAAACAATAAAACAACATTTTGTCTTCTTATTTTTGCTTGTAAGTTTTTGTCAATTTATTCTACATAGGGATGTTAAAAGTTTAGTTCAGTTCGACTCAACTCCAAAAGTCGAGTTATTATTAAAGTTCAGTTCCAAGTCAGACTTGGAACTCAACTCGCATTTTATGTGCAACTTGTATATTTAAATATAGCTAAAAAAAATATATATTCATGCATACTTTGCATGCATATACATTTTTTTTAGTGCTATATTTAAATATACAAGTTATACATGAAATGTGAGTCGAGTTCCAAGTCTGACTTGAAACTGAACTTTGATAATAATTCAACTTTTGGAGTTGAGTCGAACTGAACTAAACTTTTAACATCCCTAATTCTACATATATACTGTTTTATATACTAACTTTGTCATATAAATTGAACGTGAATTCAAAGGGATTCAACTGATATTATTAACATAATGGAATAAATAAAGTTGTTTTTGAGAACAAAATACACATTCTTACTCTAAAATTTATACACAAATCAAAGAAACTTTTATTAATTCATTTCTTCGATTTATGTTTAAATGAAAAAATTAAAATTTTTTCGTTTAAACGTAAATCGAAGAAATGAATTAATAGAAGTTTCTTTGATTTGTGTATAAATTTCAAAGTAGATATGTGTATTTTGTTTTCAAAAACAACTTTATTTATTGTGTTACTGTATTTATGCGAAATAACGCATACTTGTATATTATTTCGAAGAGATATGCATTATTCAAAAATAACTATATTATTACTAATACGTTATTTTAAGAGAATGCGATTTTCGAAATAATGCCTATGTGCGTTATTTCGTGTAAACACAGTAAAGTCAATTAGCTTAGTAAAATTTTGACTTTTATATAGAGAACTATTGGCATTTGTAGATAAAAATATTTGATACTTTAGTTAAAAAATTTTACAAATGAATAGTTTCTCTATTAAAATCCAAATTTTACTAAACTAATCGACTTTAATGCAATAATTAAAGTTGTTTGTTAAGTTATAGTATATAAATATTTCTGTTTATAATTTGCTGATTTACACCAATTTAATAAATCATCTTTGTTCTTACTGGTAATAAATATGAATAAATTGATCTAAATATCATTAGATTATGATAGTATATGATAGTATTGTTCTTTTATGATATTTGCAATTATAATTCTACCAATTAATCAACTAGCTTTGTTTTTACCAGCTTATTAATGAAATGAAATGATTTGAACAGAAATAGATACAGTAAATATTATTGTTCATGATTTGCTGTTCTAATTCTATCAATTAAAATAAATAATCTTTGTTCTCACTAGTAGTTTCTGGCCTAATCCAAACAAGTTTAAAATAATTAACTATCGTTTCAATAGTTTCTAACCCAATATATAATAATCTTTTAAAAACTTATCTTCACTTTAATGATTTCTGGCCCAACCCATAACAAGTTTAAAATAATTAACTATCGCTTCAATATTTTCTAACCCAATATATAATAATATTTAAAAACTTATCTTCGCTTTAATGATTTCTGGTCCAATTCAAACAAGTTTAAAATAATTACTAACCATCGCTTCAATATTTTCTAACCCAATATATAATAATATTTAAAAACTTACCTTCACTTTGATGATTTCTGGTCTAATCCAAACAAGTTTAAAATAATTAACTATTGCTTCAATAGTTTCTAACCCAATATATAATAATCTTTTAAAAACTTACTTTTGCTTTAATGATTTCTAGCCCAATCCAAACAAGTTTAAAATAATTAACCATCGCTTTAATAGTTTCTAACCCAATATATAATAATCTTTTAAAAACTTACCTTCGCTTCGATGATTTCTGGTCCAACCCATAACAAGTTTAAAATAATTAACCATCGCTTCAATATTTTCTAACCCAATATATAATAATATTTAAAAACTTACCTTCACTTTGATGATTTCTAGCCCAACCCATAACAAGTTTAAAATAATTAATCATCACTTTAATAGTTTCTAACTCAATATATAATAATATTTAAAAACTTATCTTCACTTTGATGATTTCTGGCCTAATCCAAACAAGTTTAAAATAATTAATCATCGCTTTAATAGTTTCTAACCCAATATAATAATCTTTTAAAAACTTACTTTCGCTTTGATGATTTCTGGCCTAACCCATAACAAGTTTAAAATAATTAACTATTATTTCAATAGTTTCTAACCCAATATATAATAATCTTTTAAAAACTTACCCTTGCTTTGATGATTTCTGGCCCAACCCATAACAAGTTTAAAATAATTAACTATCGTTTCAATATTTTTTAACTCAATATATAATAATATTTAAAAACTTACCTTCGCTTTGATGATTTCTGGCCCAACTCATAACAAGTTTAAAATAATTAACCATCACTTTAATAGTTTCTAATTCAATATATAATAATCTTTTAAAAACTTACCTTCACTTTGATGATTTCTGGCCTAACCTATAACAAGTTTAAAATAATTAACTATTGCTTCAATATTTTCTAACCCAATATATAATAATCTTTTAAAAACTTACTTTCATTTTGGTGATTTCTGGCCCAACCTATAACAAGTTTAAAATAATTAATCATCGCTTCAATATTTTCTAACCCAATATATCATAATCTTTTAAAAACTTATCTTCACTTTGGTGATTTTTGGCCCAACTCATAACAAGTTTAAAATAATTAACCATCGCTTTAATAGTTTCTAACCCAATATATAATAATCTTTTAAAAACTTACCTTTGCTTTGGTGATTTCTGGCCCAACCCATAACAAGTTTAAAATAATTAACTATCGCTTTAATAGTTTCTAACCCAATATATAATAATCTTTTAAAAACTTACTTTTGCTTTGGTGATTTCTGGCCTAACTCATAACAAGTTTAAAATAATTAACCATCGCTTTAATATTTTCTAACTCAATATATAATAATCTTTTAAAAACTTACCTTCGCTTTGGAGATTTCTGGCCCAACTCATAACAAGTTTAAAATAATTAACTATCGCTTCAATATTTTCTAACCCAATATATAATAATCTTTTAAAAACTTAGCTTCGCTTTGGTGATTTCTGACCCAACCCATAACAAATTTAAAATAATTAACCATCCTTTAATAGTTTCTAACCCAATATATAATAATCTTTTAAAAACTTACCTTCGCTTTGATGATTTCTGACCCAACACATAACAAGTTTAAAATAATTAACCATCGCTTTAATAGTTTCTAACCTAATATATGATAATCTTTTAAAAACTTACTCTCGCCTTGGTGATTTCTGGCCCAACCCATAACAAGTTTAAAATAATTAACTATCGCTTCAATAGTTTCTAACCCAATATATAATAATATTTAAAAACTTACTTTTGCTTTGATGATTTCTGGCCCAACCTATAACAAGTTTAAAATAATTAACTATCGCTTTAATAGTTTCTAACCCAATATATAATAATCTTTTAAAAACTTACTT